GGTAGCGATTAGCAATTCTATCAAATAAATAAACGGTGCATTTATTAATTTTCCTGCTAACCAATGGACTGCACTGTCACTGCAAAATAATTGCATTAGCAAGTACTTAGTTACAATGTAAACGACATATTCTGAAATATTATCCTAGTTACAAGGAAGCGAATTCATAACCCAAAAAATTCAGTCTACCCTTAAAACTAGTTTTAACGATGTGATAGATGGAAGAAGAAATAGTAAATTTCCTGTAATGTTTGTTGCACTTTATTTTTCCACTCCTTGAAAAAAAAATCGAATTATAATTTCCCATACGGTTTGAATTTTGAATTGAACCTAAGCTGGTTTTTGAATTACTTAAGTGGCACCGTTGTACAAAAAAAATACTTCAAAAGTACATATCAGTAAAGGCATGACCAAAGTAGAACCACTTCGTAAATATCTTCTGAAGATCTAAAATACATGTATGGTTTGTTTTATTTGATTTCGTCTGATCTTTCAAAACAAAAGTCTAATTTACAGCTAGATTTAAATGTAAACTTTGACCTCTGCTGGTGGTAATTTTATTTTTTTTTATTGGCGCCAACTGTTAAGGACGTTCAAAGGGATATAATCTGTCAAGTTTGATTTTAATTGGTTTTTCTTTCAAAGTGCGCCTTATCCGACCACTTTAGGCACCTCGGAGTCATGGACAAAATGAATGCACTTATTTAGTACCTTTTATAAACACTGCCATTGTTTGATTTCATTGATTTCAATTCATCTCTTCCCATTAGGTTTCCATATAAACTTTTACCTCCGCGGCGTCCAATTTGTGGAGACGCTTACTATGTCGACACTGTCCTAATTTTCAAATTCATTCAATTGCCTTTTATTCTGTTCATCAGTATATTTGTTCATTACAGAATTAAACGACGAAACTGTGTAGATCAATTATTATTACAAAACACTTATGAAGTTAAAAAACATTTTTTTAAAAACTCGTCCAAGTAAGCCCATGCAGGAAGCGCTCAACAACAGTATATAGCGGTAAACTAGTCTCCATTAAATTTGTTTTAATTTATATTGACACTATAGAGTTTTAATATTGAAAAACAAACAGGCATTGAGCATTTTAAAAAAGTTTTGTTTTCCGTTCATGCCATTTAATAGATTTGTGTAATTATTATTGGACGATGCTTTACCTCATGCAGGTTCTGATCACGTTACAGATTTGTACTTTTGTCTTCAAATTAATTTAATCAAACTTGTGGCTTTATGACTTAATTTACGTTATTCTTAAACAGCACGAAGCTATCAAAGACAATAAAGAATGCCAAAAATTAGAACAACACCATGATCAAAAGAAAAAAAGGACGAAATGACAAACACTAGTCTCTAAGACACTACCCACAAAACTACAAAAGTGAGCAACTAGAACCTCAATAAAAGCGGGTGAAAAGCTCAGGTCCTGAATGGAACTTTCTGCTCAAGTGGCACACGTCGTTTTGCTCGTAATAGAAAAACATTATCGTCTCAAAATGCTTGGATATATTAAAAATATTAAGGGCTGTTGAAATGTTGCTACATAAAAATGGAAAGTTTGCATTTATAAAATTAAGTCAGTATCTACATTGTCAGAATAAATTCAAATAGGAAACGATAAAATCGAAATTAAATTAGAACTCGCATAAACTTATAAAAAAAACTATGCGAGCTGGTGCAGTTAAATGGGTACCATAAATGTTATTACATGTGATAAACAATTCATGTGAAGAAACCACGTAGCGGAAACAAACCTGTAATGTTTGTAAATCGAAATGTTTTTTGCACATCACTTTTCCTGTCCTCAGCTGGTGATTGTGTTGAATATTCGACTGGCTCGGTAGTACCAAAACTTGTGAAGTACTTTTAAAAGGAGTCAATGCATGACAAAAAAAATACCACTTCGTAAATATCTTCTAAGGAGGAAAAACACAAGTTTGGATTGATTAGATTTGATTTCATCTTAGATTACAAAAAAAGTAAACTTTGATCGCTGCTTGAGTCTAATTTATCTTTTGATTAACGCCAACCAGTTGGAAATCTAGTAAACGAAAGCAATAGAAAATTCGCTCTTCTTGTGGAAAAGTCGTGAAAATCAATAATAAAACTATGCCGGTGACGATACTGATCAAAAGTAACATCTACAACAATTTTTCATTTCAAAGAAATTATGTGTTAAACTGTGTAATTAGAAATATAGATGCAAATACACGATGTTTAATGTTCAGTTTTTATCGAGATAATTGCATTAGAAGCTTAGAAAATCTTAGAAATGTTGCATATTGATAAAAAAAATGGGCAAAATCATATACATACAAAATCTAAAGATCTTTCAGGTCACCAATTTTTGGAGTGTTCCAAAATGTCCTTAGCATGTTACAATTTAAAAAAATTTACTTATTTTTCACATCTAAGTTTTCGAGTTCAACGGTCTGCTCTTGTCACGTGAACATTCAATATAGAAATATTATCTCTTCGTGAATATAGCAATTTAAAAGTCTGTCTGTGCAGGTTCAAAATTAAAGAAAAATATTTTTAAAATGTAGGTATCTTTTTACTATATTTTATACAATTTTAAGAAAAGGTCGTCTCGAATTTTGTACATGTATTTGCGGTCTTCTCGATCTATTCACGTTCAATGTTTACATCGGGATAATGTCCGTTTTGAATTTGCTTAGTAACTGAATTTCTTAATCTTTGCTGCACATCAATCGATTTTTTTTCCTGAACTACTCGGATCTAGCTGCATGTTTGTACGGATCACCAGCATGTTCCAGAGAGGTATAAAGGCAGTAGAAAAATAAATTGAAGTTGATACTCCAGGAATTTATTCGCAAAGCAACATTTAAAAACCAGTTTTAAATCAAGCTCTTATAGCCTGCTGACTTTTGCTATTTAAGGAGGGAAATGATATCATTAAATGAAAGTTTTGTTTTTATTTCAACTTATTTCTATTTCTACTCGTTACCAAAACGTTTTCCCGTGAATTTAAAATTGATAGCGTCCTTGCTAAAACGGGACAAACATTGAAAAGATCTAGTTTTCAGTGATTACAGGGGAATTAATATTTCATCGCTAGATTACCCACTGCCAACGTAATAACACTTGTAAAAGACCTTCAAAGGAACATACCAGTAAAGTTTGATTTGAATTGTTTTTCTAGTTAAAGTGAACAAAACATCTTTCACAGTGTGACCTATCCCACCCATTTTAGGCACACCAGTCAAATTGGATTTCTGAACAGGAACAAAATCACATCATTTACTCTTTACCTTCTATAAACACTCCAGCATTTTAATACATATCTTTTCATCGGATTTTCGTATAACTTTTTCCTAATTTCAAAACCCATTCAATTTTCATTTATTCTTTGCATCGGTTAGTTGTTCATTATAGAATTAAACTACGAAGCTGTGTAGATCAACTATTATTACAAAACACTTGTGAACATAAACAAAATATTTAAAAAAATCGCTAAAGCCTGTGCAGAAAGCACTCACAAACAGTATATAGTGGTAAACAAATCTCCATACATTTTTTAAATTTATATTGACACTATAGAGTTTTAAAAGTGAAAAGCAAATAGGTATTGAGCATTTTGAAAAGTTTTGTTTTTCCCGTTTATGTCATTTTAATAGATTTGTTGTAATTATAAGTGGTCGATGCTTTATCTCATGCAGGTTTTGATCACGTTGTTATGACTTAATATCAAAGTAGGTTATCTTTTGAAGTACTTCCCTGAATAGACATAAAACTGGTATGCCCTTCTATAGATATTATATACACGAGTTTATGTAGACTGTCTCTTAACTGTGTTTTAGGACTAAAGGTTTCAACCAAATAAATTGCTTAAAAATTGCGAGTTAGGATGAGATGCTTTTGAAATTTATGTTTGTAAACTTGGTTCTCTTTGACAAAGATATTTTTAGATGAAAGTTTACGTAAGAGGAGACGGAATGAACGCCGCCGATAGTGTTGTCATTAATATATCCGCAGGAATTCATATAAGTTAATTTGTTAAAACGGTAAAAAAAATTATCATCAATGATACCAGATTATAATTTGGTACCCCAGACGCGAGTTTCTGCATAAGACTATAAGTGGCGCTCGAATTAAAAGAGTTGAAAGGCCACATGGAAAACGAAGTTGAAAAGCATTGAAAACCAAAATTTCTACTTCGGACATCCTTGACTTTCAATATTGTGTTTGAATGAAGTGTCTATATAATAACATCAAGACGTCTATATTCGTTGGAAAAAATGCGATATTTTGATATGTAGTTTTCATTTATTTTTTCTACTTTTATGTTTTTAATACTGCTACCTTTCATAGATAGGCAAAAAGTCGATACACGACGTAGGAATAGATGGCTAGAAACTATCACCTTATATGCAAACCACATATACAACAACGTCATAAATTATCAATGTTGGAACAATGCATGAATTATATCTGCTTGATTTGTTTGCAAATCTGAACAAATCAGTTTCAAATAGATTAAATGTCAAACTACTCATTTTCAGACAATAAAGAATCAATGTTACAAATTTCAACATTTCCCTTGCATATACCGTTACAATTGAATATGTATTATTAATTTACATTTTGTAGAATTGTAAGTGCTTCATGATTGCAAATGTCAAATGGTGGTGTTTTTTTTTCTGGTCAGTCGATTTAGCAAACGGATTAAGTCAAAATTGAGGAAACTTTGCATAGAACGAACCACAGTTTTACTCGAGAATTAAAAACTTTACTTAAGAACTTTACTTTTGTAAGTAATCTCAGACCCCGAATAGATTTAAAAAATACGCGAGGGTTATAAAAATAACTCATTTAATTTACCAGGCTTATAATTTGTTACGCCATTACCGCATTTCGTCTTTCTAAGACTCATCAGAGGCAAGGCAAAATTAATCCAAACAAACAAACACACGTATTTTACCCACCCTGTTCGTTTTCTGTAATTCATAAACGTACAGAAGTCAAAGAACAAAAAGTACACATGGTGTTTATTTTCCGGGTTCATTAATCTTTGCGATTTGTTTTAATTAATTTATAAAAATTTCCTTGTGCAACAAATACAATAAATAAATTAATAATAAATTGAAACAAATGCAAACACATCCTGTTGTGTATATACAGCAAGTTATGATTTGTGTTTTAGATTTTTGTGTATCTTATATCATATTCTGAAAATTGGCTTTTTCAAATCATACAAAACTGAAAATGTGGATACGGGAATGCTAATTATCTCCAGTAATCGACTATTCTACTGTCTTTTTGTCGTTTTGTCTTCTGTTTGGTTGCTGCCTCTTTTATAAATTTTTCTGCAAGTAGTTGATACTTTGTTTTTTGATTTACTTCAAACTCTTGAAAAGAATCGTTAATGACAGCTTGTTTGGCTGTGTCGTTGACATTATCAGAAAATGTTTTGTCTTTTAATTCAATTTCTGACTTTTGTTTACCAGTTGCATATTTTAAAGATTTCATTGTATCAGCATAACTTAGTTCTCCTCTATTAGCAAAATTGTTCCACTGATTACTTGCATTTTTCGAAAAAGGTGATGAGATTTTGTCCAGTTTTGAATCTGTATTATTTGTCCGATACTTTTCCTGTCTATAATGTGCGGAACTACCCCGCATTTTGTAACTGAGCTGTTCTATAGAGGAGTATGATGGGGGGTCATCGGAATTTATTTTCTCTCCATTGCTCTTAAATACTAATTCTTCACTATTTGATAATTTAGGCAAATTAATCGAAAGTGATTGAGGTTTTTCATTTAAGTCTAGATATCTTGATGACATTTCTGAACTTTCACACGAACAATCGTCACTATCGAGCATATTTTCTGAACTATGGCTGACATTTTCTATATTTTTCTGTACACTTGGTTTAACTGGTGAAATAAGTATGGAGGGAAAATATGATGAATCTTCTGTGGATCCTTTAAAAACAGACAGCTCTATATTTGTTAATTTTGATTCCATTTGTCGCTGGTTTGAACTTTCTTCATAGTGTTTTGTTGTATAAGGTAATGGTGCTTGTATTTCTTTGTTAGATGCATAAGACCGAGTCTTCACAAAAGCTGCCTTACCAACGCAAGGTGCTGTAAAACTAACGTTGCTTTTTTGTCTATATACTGAATTTGGTTCATAAACAGTGCTACGTACAAGTGCAGCCTTTCCAGGTGTTTGCACAGAAAATAACAAATCTCCATTTTGTTCAACAATAGCAGTACCACGATCTAAAAATCTACTGTATGAAGACTTTTCGGGGAGCGGAGTTTGACTTTGCATTTCAATGGATTCCGAAGTTAAAATTCCGAACGGATGATCCTCAACACTGACCGCACAGCTAATTATAGTAGACTCGGTCAGAGTTGATAACGGCGAATTATGAAAATCGTGTATGAAAACAGCAGACTGGGAATTTGAAGATGAGCTGGCAAATGATTTGTTTTCTGGAAAATAAGATATCCCGGGTGTTGACATAACTGATCTGATCTCATCTAAATCATCTTTATTGCTGTTTCTTCCATAATATTGAATACTTTTGGCTGATGACGGACGGCTTCTTTTATTTAATTGATCTAAAAATTGCTGTCTTCTTAATTTGTTTTTCCCGGTGATTAAATCTCGGACATTACGTATCTTTTGCTTAACACTTGAAACAGGATCATTTTCTTTCATATATCTTCTACATTTATAGCAACCATAAAGTCCACAACAGCTACAGAAAACAAGAAATAAAATCGGCGCTACAATATACATTGCAATATTATTTTTATTTTCGAAAAAATCCTCAGCTGAACGCCGAAGTCTAGATGATCTTTCATAGTAAGGATACTTAAAAACTGGCTCGTTAGAATATAACCCGACAGAAGAGTTAAGTCGATCAGGGTTATGATATTCGTACATTTCCATTTCCACTAACTGAATTTCAAATCCCGTCAAGTGTGCTAAGGAATAACAAAACTCGTCTTCATATTTAAGCAATGTGTGTGTTACTATGTTACAATGCTATAGACTTTTTCACCATGTTTAATCTGTAAAAGAGGTTTAGACGAGTTAAAGGTTTGATCATGTTAAAACATATAGAGAAAAAAAAAGAAATTAGCTAAAAGCCAGAAAAAAACGAATGTCATGTTAAACCTTAATAGGGCAGTTTGGAAAGATTGCAACACATCATTTAAATTTTCGTGAGTACATTCAACAACCTCATGAAACAGCAATAACGCAGAAAAAAAATCCGTGCAAGCCCAAATCAGACAAACAAACCTATCACAAAATATACAAAATAGATAATATGTTTTTGTCATTTTGAACCGAGCATTAACCTGGCACAATTTTCATGGAAATATAGAAATGTGATTTCTTAAAATACAAACAAGTAAGAAAATTAATGTATATGTAATGTCAACATTTTGTCATATCATTGTAAACCAACAAACCAAAATATCTTCCGCCTCTTTTTTTCCAACTAACACACAATAAAACAAGAAACCATATCAGACAAACCAAATAACTACAAAATAAACAATATCAAAACAAAATATTAAATAAGTTTTTCATTTTTAACCGATTATTAACCTGGTACAATTTGAATGAAGTAGTTTTTTTATTCAATAAATCGTCATATACCACAGTGAAATAATATAAATTAAATCCTGGAAAAAAAAACAGTTGCAATCAACATTTTCATTCGATCTATATTGATAGAAACCCAACAATAACTCTCTTGCTTTATCTTTGTCTATAGAATAAGATTTGCATAAGAATACGATAAACTTATTGACTTTTCTAAACTTTTAAGTTTATAGACGTCTGTGAAACGTCACGTAGTGAAACACCTACGAAACCGTAAATAAAACGGAAATCAAATGCAGGAAATTACATCCCGTCTTGCGTATGTTAAGTTTTTATAATGTTTATTCCTAATTTGAATGTCTTAAAACAGTGAAACGACGACATTGGACATTTCACAACATAATACGGTACCGATTTTACTGCACCAAATAAGTCTTTCGCGATTGAATGTCTCTTCGGGGGTGCTTCAGGCCAAAATGTTGAAATTTAAAATCTACTAAAAACGTAGAACTGCAGATATAACCGAAAAGGACCAAGAGTATAGCCAAAACCGGACAAGGAATTAGAGCTATAAACTAGGGAATTACATTCCTTACATTCAAATGATTCTCCTAGCTTTAAACCAGCAAATTTCATTGAAACAATATCTTTTTTTTCAAATTAACGAAAAAAGAGGGAAATATAAACTACCCAAATTTTAAGGGAATCATTAAGGGTTGGTTGGAATGAACAATGTTCTTGTGGTTCAACTCAATAGCGACATGTTTAGCAGTTTCAGATGTTAAGATATCAGAATAGTCGTCTGATCTGCAAACTATCGATTGTGTCCTATTCATGATTGTGACATTTTGACAAAGTGTCGATTCGCATGGCGGATGAAACATGCATACATCAACTTCATTTGAGCTCTGGTTGGTGAATAGCTGTTTCATTGTCAATTATACTACACCTCCTTAATATTTATATAACAGGAGACGCTAACCCTGTCTAGCAATTTTATGAGTTCATGCGATTCCCGAAGTTTTTGGGTTTTTTCCCTTGATTTGATCTTCTTAATAGATTTATGAGATTTGTACATCGGTAAACTACTGTTGCTTCAAATTGTTCATGCCAATATGAGGTTCTGAGCTAAAGGGTTGGTGATACCATCGGAAACTAACAGTTGTTAAACAAGTAGTTGTTTTCTCTTGGTTTCCAGCTCAAAAAATCTACACAACGATTTCTGCTTTCTGAAATTCTTAGAGTGTGAGAAATCGACGTGACTTTTGTACGTTAAAATTCTAATGGTTTCTAGCATGCCTGCATAATGTGGTTGCTATTTATAATATTTCGCTTTTTTGTTATCAGTTCAGTCTGTTTCTCAGAATATTCGTATGGATTTTTCATTTAACTTGTTTTTGTTGTACACAAATCTCTTGTCCACAAGGGACCTGCATTAAATTACCATAGGCTTCGTTTTAAAGGTTTCTAATAAGCAACGCGTTGTAAATAACATGTGATGAAAACACACAGACATTAAGTCGAATGTTACAAAAAAACGTCATCAGGGCAATTGAATGACAATTGTCAACGGGGACAGCGATGCGATTAATTGAAATTGTTTAGTTTAAGTCAATTTTTATGTCCATGAATTCTCTGACGTCATTTCAAATTCGATGGATAGTTTTATCTGACACACCTGTTGCGTCATTCCGTACATGATATTGCTTCTATACATATAAAAATAAGGAGATGTGGTATGATTGCCAATGAGATAACTCATATGACATAGACGTGTACAACTATAGGTCACCGTACAGCCTTCAACAATAAGCAAAACCCATACCGCATAGTCAGCTATAAAAGGCCCCAAAATGACAAATGTAAAAAAAATTCAAACGAGAAAACTAACGGCCTGATTAATGTACAAAACAATGAACGAAAAACAAATATGATATAAATATATAGCTATAAGTTGGTCGTAGTAAGGTCAATAAATTTACCTACTTGAAAATGCATACATTTCTGAATCACTAAAATGTTCTTAATTGGTTACTCTGTTTCAATATGATACCATCAATAAAAGATGTCAAACATTAGATGTGTAGGAATTTAATTAATGAAAAAAATCCTACCGATTTCAATCGATGAAATTTCTACGCTAAACTGTAACAACTAGTATATTTGGCTAATGTGGTAAACTTTCTCCCGGGATTAAAGACATAATTTGGATTACAATCTTTAATATATTTTATTTACAGTCATTGACATAAATTGATATGTTTTCACATCAAAAACGTTAACCATATCTCATTTAAATGAATTACGTGCGATTTCGTTTGCATTAAATAAATGAAATAGATACAATTAATATAGCGAAATGCAAAATCATGATTTAATAGCTAGATTATTAATACCTAATAAAGATAGTTTATAAGAAATAATACTAAGTAGAACAATGATTTAAGTGAGCTCCATATTTTATCAGCTGCTCTTTTAATTTACACAATGGATACAATGATTGTTGTATATTTTTCTTTTGTAATGTTCACATTTTCTGCATCAAGTCAATGCATCATGAGATATTCTTAAATTTCTGGATAACATTCTTAATTTTCCGAAGGGTTTATACTCGACGAAGATATAGATACTGGGCGACTGAAGAAATAACATACTTAAATGCGTAAAATATATCTGCTGATAATACTTTAAGATGAATGTAAGGTTTTTAAAAAGTTAACAATAGTCCATGGAAACACCAATAGAACCATTTGCAAGGTTCCCAAATATGACGGTCTATACAAATGTGACAAATTATTGTGAATTGAGAAAATGAAAGGATTTGATTATCCGGGGATTCTTATTTTAATTATACCCTTACTTTATGATTCTTTTTATACAAATGGAAAGTGAATCCCCTCAGTGTCTGGCAAAACGAAAACGGTGGATTTTGTTTACATATTCACTGCCCATTACTTTGTTTGGAATAAATTAAGTCTCTGGCTTTTTCATGCTTAATTACTTGGTCGACACATGTGTAGCAATATGTTACCTTAAATATTGTAATTTCATAAGTGATTTTTTTTTTGTTAATTAAACTCCTACACTACTAATGTTTGACCTTTTGGTCACATCAAAATCAATAATAGCTACAAAATTTCATCAATTTAAAAAGTAAAATCCTTTTCTTTAACCAGTTATATAGTATTGTGAGGCCTTGGTGGCCATGTGATCTTAGAAGTTCAACTACTGTGTCACTAGCCTGTCAACACTGAGGTTCTCTCCGGCTTTCTTCACCATTAAAAGCTGACAGCCACGAAATTATGGAACGCCACAGCTGTCTTATGTGGAACTCTGATATTACTTTATGTTGTTTTATAATTACTTGATGATATTTTGTCTTTACTTAATATGGTTTTGACATAACGTAATGATGTTTTGATATAACACAATATGGAATAGTCATTACTTAATGATATTTCGATATTACACGATATGGTTTCGTATTGACTTGATATAGTTTTGTCATTACTCAATATGGTTTTGTCATTACTCGATGTGGTTTCACCATTATTTAATGTGGTTGTGTCATTAGTCAATGAGGTTTTAACATTACTTGATGTGAATGTGACTATACGTTATGTAGTTGTTTCATTACATGATGTGGTTTTGTAATTTCGTAATGATGATTTGCCTATTCTTTATATGGTTTTAACATTACGCAATGCTGTTTCAAAATTTGACGATTTTACACTACATGATGTGTTTGTTTCATTATTTGATGTGGTCCTGTCATTCTTTGATGTGGTTATCCCATTACTTGATGAGGTAAAACCACGTGACCAATTCGGAAAAAATATGTTCTATTTTTAAACAGATTTCAATATATCGTTTGTTTAATGTGCTTTGGATGGGTATCGCTATCCATTGAGTTAAAGTTCAAATTAAAGTTCGAGTGGTTGTTCAGAGTTATTTGGTATGAAAAAGGGGAACGGCAGACAATAATAAGAAAAAAAGTATTAAAAAGTTTACAGTATTTCGGACATAATTGGGATATCCCCAAACCACTTGGTCCTGTTGTTTTTATCCTAAGTTCTCAAACGGAAGCAGTATTTTTGTAATAAATTTGTAAAATATTTCACGGAACCCTGTGTCTCGCCTGATATTGCTGCTGTAAGTGTAAAAGCGTCATGTTGATCGGCTGTACATTTATCTATACATTTATCGGTTAAAAAAAAAAAAAAATGTTTTTCTGTAGATGCTTTTTCTTGAAATTGAGGAATAACTCCTATACAAGTTTTAAAACACTTCATGGAGGTTTACAAATTTATTATGTCAAAACAGTTTAATTCGGTTTTATTTAACTAAAACAAAACTGTATGGTTTTCAACAATGAGCAAAACCCATACCCTATAGTAAGCTATAAAAGGTCCCGAAATGAAAAATGTAAAAAAAACTAGAAACCTAACGATCTATAGATAGATAGATATATACTTTATTCTCTAAAAACTAAATACAAGTTTACAGAGAAACATATAATATTAATACAGATACAATAGTCGAGGTAAACAAATACAGTATGATATTCTAAAAGTACAAAATTATGATGGCATACATGTTTAGTAACATGTATAATGAAAGGTTAAACTCAATAGAAATAAAAAAAAATGGAGATGGAGACGCCGACGCCACTATCGACGACGAAATATAGGTTTGTTGTGTCTCACTGCCGCTGCATTGATGTCGCAGGCTCGACACAAATCAAAAGACTTGAACTTTATTGTTAACAAATGAAACACTTCAAATCAACACACACTAAAGTTACAGGGAAACGGGGGGAGGGGGCTCGGACTAAGTGACAAAGCATCAATACTATAAAATAAGAATTCTCCAAATTTTTTTTAGCGTAAATGATCATTTGAACATATACGAATATCAATCTTTTATTTGTAACCAATTGAATTCCCTGATCAACCTCGCACTAATTGAAAAATAAACTTTTTGGAATATCTGTTTCACATGTGACGACGGACATGTTCCAGTGGTCGTAACCATAATACCGTCATCTTTTCCTTGAATGTAAACTACCAAATAAAACCAAATCACTGGGTTTGTACTTTCTCGAATAACACGACGGGTGCCTTTCTTGAGCATCCGAGATCACCCCGATGGATTTATATTACCCAGTCATACCGATCTATTGAATTTAGCCAAATGAAACTGTTTTGTATTCCACCGCAACTGAAAGTTGGGGGGCATATTGTTTTACCCCTGTTCGTCCGTCCGTCCGTCCGTCAGTTTGAATCCTAGGAAGTTTTCTCTTTACTGTCTGTTTGTACATATATTGAAGGTGTGCATGTGGTCAGGGTTTTTATTTTTATTATCTTATGCACTTTTGGGAGATAATTGAACTTTTTTTTGTCATTTTTGGTGTATAAGCGGTTAAATGAGTTGAGTGCGGGGGCATCACTTTGTCTAGTTTACATTTTTTCTCGTGTTGTGCTGTTACACAACTGTAACAGTCCGATGTAAGGTTAGGATTTAGCGCTCACATACATGTTAAACTCCGTCACGTGCACTTTCTTTATGTACCTGCCCCAAGTCAGGAGCATGAAGTTCAATTGTTGTCGTTGTATAAATGTGTGTCATTTTTTTTTGTAGATTGTTTATTTATAAATAAGACCGTTTGTTTTTTCGTTTGAATTTTTTCACTTAGGTGCATGGTGGCCTTTTGTAGCTGACTATACGGTGTGTTGAAGGCTGTACGGTTGCCTATATATGATTTCTTACATCCACTGCATTTAAACTCTGTTGGATAGTTGTCTCATTGTCAATCACACCACATCTAACTTTATTTCAACTTCTATGTTGCGTTTTGTATACTGTAACATTGTTTATCTTTTGTACGCATACCCCGGAGCCCTCTTTTCGGAAGCCCGAGCAAAAGTCCTTGTTCCGCGATAGAAAATTTAATTACGAACTCATATAAGATAGCTCGCATTTCAACTCAAAATCTTAATTAATCTAAATGAGACTTAAATTCGAATCTTACTCAAACTCTACCTCAAAAAGTGACTCAAATTTAATGTTAACTAGAACTTCACCTTTAAATATGACTCAAACTCGAAGTCCAACTCGAAACTCAATGCTAACTAAAACTTTAATTCTAATAATGACTTGAATTCGAAATCGAAGACTAACTCAAAGTTTAACTCAAACAGTAACCCGAACTTTAATTTGAACGTTAATTCGATGGCTGGCCACACTCATCCAAGGCACATACAACATGGAAATATATCTAAAAATAGAACAGGTTTTCCGAATTGGTCACGTGATTTTACCTCATCAAGTAATGGGATAACCACATCAAAGAATGACATGACCACATCAAATAATGAAACAAACACATCATGTAGTGTAAAATCGTCAAATTTTGAAACAGCATTACGTAATGTTAAAACCATATAAAGAATAGGCAAATCATCATTACAAAATAACAAAACCACATCATGTAATGAAACAACTACATAACGTTAAGTCACATTCACATCAAGTAATGTTAAAACCACATTGACTAATGACACATCCACATTAAATAATGGTGAAACCACATCGAGTAATGACAAAACCATATTGAGTAATGACAAAACTATATCAAGTCAATACGAAACCATATCGTGTAATATCGAAATATCATTAAGTAATGACTAATCCATATTGAGTTATATCAAAACATCATTACGTAATGTCAAAATCATATTAAGTAAAGACAAAATATCATCAAGTAATAATAATTCAACATAAAGTAATATCAGAGTTCCACATAAGACAGCTGTGGCGTTCCATACGAAATGGCCAATAGTGCTACAGAAAGTGGTGTTAGTCGTCAAACGATTTTTGAAATGTGCAAGTCTGATATATACACTGTTAATGTTTTCAAGTTAAACCATGTGGATCGTATTTCTTTTTGAGATATAGAATTTATTATAGGGATGTAAAACATGGATCCTACTGATAGGAAGAAATAAAAAAAAAAACACATAAAGACACCAATCAGCTGACATTATACACATAAAGCATGCTTGTACTAGCGTTAAATGAAAATGTAGTATCTGAAAATATAACTTATCTGCCAAGACAGTGACAAAATGTTCAGGGGGACCCAAATCAAAGTCAGCAGAACGGTATTTGTGAAAGAGATATTTGTAAAATTTTGTAAAAATAAAATATCTCTTTATCAAAGTAAGAGTTGATGGTCGACTAGTTTGCATAAGATGATCGCTTTCCTGAAAATGTCTGTAAAGGAACCTTGACGAAATTCGAGCCTACTGCTCCTTAAAATCAAACTATTTACTACTAAACATTCCAATATTGAGTACAACAATAGAAAGTACCTACGATTCTTTTTCAGTGGCATTCATTTTTAGACAAAAAACTTATAAATATATTACATACCTTCTAATTTCATGACGTAATCAGATAATTTCAGTATTGCTGTACTTATCAACAAAAAATGAAGATCCATAGCAATTTTTCATTTCACGAACTATGCACACCAGAAAAAAAATAGTAATGAAACGACATCAATGTTTTATTTATGAGTTTTCACATCCTATAACTCGTTTTAACAAAGATGATAATTATCTCACTTTTTCTCCAAATCAGTTCAATAAAAATAACGGTTAAAACAAGTCAATACTTTATATTTGAACTAATCATTGTATGTATATCTATTGGATTTTTTTTATTTCCTAAACTTTATAGCCTAACATTAGCACTTTGTCTCTTATTGGAGAAACAAATCAGTATGTACACAAATTTGCTGTGAAATTTCTATGAATTTTGTTATGTTATTTACAGAATTTATTTGTACACTTTGAAATTATCATGTCTTAACCAACGTCCTTTTAAAACAACATACACATATTCCGTATTGTTAACATGTTACTATTTTGATCGATTACTTATTTCAAAAACTGTCCTACAATTAAAAAGTTTTTTAAAAGGTAATTTTCAGGTTGAAAGTGATAATCTATAATTCTCATTTACGGCAACAAAACATAGCTTTCTGACGTAAGCCGGTTAGGAGTAACCAATATTGCTTCTCTACTACCATTTTTGCTTGAATGCACAAAGAGCAATCTAAATCGAAAACTAAATCAAGAGTTTTCAGGTATTCTTTTTGGCAGCTACGTTCAGAACAACTAAGCGACTGAACTCTTTTTTCAGTAATATTAACTGTGCGGGGACTTTTTTTTTTACATGTGTACCAGGTTTATTCCGTATTTTGTCTACTAAAGAATGAGTTTTCTTCGA